ATATCATTCACTCAAATTATGAATCAATGGTTTAAATATATCTAAATAAATATAAAATAAAATGTAAAAAGGTTAGATCTAAGAAAAATGAAAATTTTAGTTTTTATTAGGAAACACTCGACTTATACCCTACTTTTGGAAATTGAGATCCCACCACCCAAATTCAGGAGTAAATGTTTAATTGCATCCTAAGAGAGATAAAATCAAGTATTAGAAGAATAGAATTCAAGAAAAACTAAAGTTAAGACCTTGATCCACCAAAATTATAAGTCGACTATTAAAGCTCAAATTAAATGCTATTAAAGCTAGGACTAAAATATGGGACTTGAGCAAACCTAATGGATGGGTTGTGTATTTTATACGAGACTACTATAAAAATATTGGTGAAGTCCCAAGTGTGGATTGAATTTTTGAAATGGTATGGACATAAATAGGTTGGTGTAGCGTCCTTAACCTAATTCCTTACAAAAACTTCGTATAACTTAACCATTTTAGTTCTAGAAAACTCAATTAATCACAAAATATCACTTAGGATCATTAAAACCTCATATTAGAAAGATTAGATTTTTTTTTTTATTCAACTAATCAACAACATTCCTTCCACTTATAACCCTTGGATATTCAATCAAAACCACTTTTTCTTTGCTCATAAACACGTCTCAAAACACCTCCAGGAGTTCATATTTACATAGTTACATATACAATTCAAAACTCTCCTAGGATGCATATGCTCGGCATAATGAGAGAGAGGAGAGGGAGATCGCCAACCGACTCGTTACTCATGTCGTGAAATGAGCAAGCAAAACAAGCTCTAAGCTTCTTAACTTCTTATACCTAAAAAGTAATTGCATTTTAATGAGATGCTACTCAATGAGAGAACAATAATTCATTGAAACCATAACATGCAATCACATCATCCAAGTATCATCACATATAAACAATACATGGAGTTCATATGACTCTAAGATTACATGCTTTCCTTTTTCTTGTCGGTTATGACTTGGACATGTCAAGTTCCGCCCCGGTACTTGTAACTTGTAAACTTGTACACATGTATTACTGGCCGGCTTTTATAACTTGTAGTTGACCCATCGGGTCCTTGTAAACTTGTAAACTTGTATTTGCGAAACTTGGACAAGCCAGTCATAACCTTAACCTCTTAGCCTTGTATATATCATGAATGTTCCACATATAGCATATACAACATCCATGGCTTACATCATGGTACATATCCATTATAACATCAATAAACGTAACGTTTGCGTCAACTAGCAAATGGCACATCATTCACATCATGCTATCAATATCAATACACATAACATCAATAAACACAACGTTTGCGTCAACTAGCAAACGACACATCATTCACATCATAGAAATATAACATTAGCACTCAATAAGCAATAACACATCATGGCACAACGATTATTATTCAACTCACAAAAATGACGTCTTCGCCGTTTATCAATGCGTCGTGTCTCGCGCCTCATGCTCCTCGGCGTCTATAAACACATACACATATACTTTTATAAGTCATTTTATCATGATCAAACTTCTAAATATGCTTAAGGTATAAAATATGACTTTAGGGTTAACTTATTCCTTTATGGGTACTTGACCCCTTTTCACTCTTTCTACCATAAGTCTCAAAATACAGATTCAAATGATGCAATTCTAGTTTCACATGAAACTAGACTCCTAGGGCTCTAACATATCCAAAAATCAAGTCTAGGTACGAAATACGCAACTCATGATGATTTTCTAAAAATCGAGTTGCTCGCCATTTGTTTATGGGTACTTGACCTCTTGACAATTCACACGCTATGTACTATAAATCCTAAAATACAGGGTGAAATGACAAAATTCTAGTTTTACATGAAACTAGACTCAAAGGGGTCTAACATATCCAAAATTCAGCCCAATATGCAATATACATGATTTATTCTAGATTTTTAAACTCTAACTAGCTTCCAAGCACCCTTGTTACCGAGCAGATCCCCAAAGAAACAACAATAAATCTAGATTGGGACATGATCAAGACCTAATTCGTTTTTTAAAAAGAACTAGACATATCAATATAAAACATATCCAAAAATTAGGACGAAATACGCAACACCCAAAGAATACCATATTTTTAAAGTTTGCACACTAATCTGTCAAGCATCGGATCACCCGAACAACATATGTTCAAACCATCATAACCCGAAATATAAATTACTAAATACAAAACCCTTTCAAGAGAGCTAGATAAGACACAAACCAACAATTTTTATTCTTACAACTTGTTCCAGATCTGACCCTAAAGTCTCGAAATCAAGAGTGCAAAACGGAGCTGGGGATGAACTTACCTAGATTTCCAGCTTGATCATCCGAATTTGACAAAGAAATGGGGTTTTTCTCTCTTTCTCTCTCTCAAAACAGGAAACCAGATGGGATAAGAAGAGATAATGATCAGGTAAGTAATCTTGATAAGGTTGTGAAGATATTTTGGCAAAGTTCATTTTGGTCCCTCAAGTTTTAGCTTGTTTTTATTCTAGTCCCCCAACTTAGATTACATTCAATTGAGTCCCTAATTCTTCCTATTATTCCAAATACTTACAATTGAGCCCCTATTTCTTTTTATTATTTCAAATACTTATTATCCAATACCCCACTAACATGTCATATGCAGGTATAATTATATGCGTGTAATTTCTAAGTATGCATGTATGCATGAACGAGTGTATGTTTTTGGAACGGGGTTATTACGGTTGGCGCCTATGAGATATGGAATATGGCTCATGATACAGGAAATAGATTAACCCTATTAGACGGGTCTTGAATTCCTTATGTGAACTCAATGGTATGGAATTGACGGGTTTAGTACCTATGACATGATGGAATGTGGTTCATAATACATCACGTGCATCATATGCATATAGGAATGGATTAAATTGAGAAAACCATTGAGTTGGAAACTATGAGGTTTGGTAACCGAATCGGATGGAAATTGGATAGGTTTGGTAACCTACGGATAAAAAGGGTATTAGCGGTCCAGTATGTGCGTACTTCTAAGTTGTGTGCTTGCATCTGTTAGACGATGGATTTCCACTAACGGTGGCTACGATAAGGGATAATTTCGTTGTTAGCAGAAGGTGAATTGGTCATCATTTGGATTAAAAATAGAGTAGACTACTCTAAGCCGTGTGCTCGCACTGTTGGACGATAGACTCGAGCTAAAAGTGGCTACAACAAGGGATAATTCCGTTGTTAGTAGAAGTGAATCGATCATCACTTGGATTAAAAATAGAGTAGAGCTGCTAATACCCAAGGTACTCGAGATTAAAATTGGATGAGTCAAAGTGGGAGAAGTCATAAAATCATTGCATATCACGTGCATCACCGTACTTACTAAGCTTCGGCTCACTCTGTGTTTATTTCATGCCATGATAGGTAAAGATGATGCTAATTCGATAATGAAGTTGCTAGTTTCTCCTAGAAAAAGGCTCATGTGTGACACGATAATTATAGGATTTACCTTTATTTGTAAATTATATTTTATAATTTTTGTAATGATATTTAGTACATTGTGTATGTGTATGAGATTAAATTTGAGACTTCGATCTCTAAACGCGTGGTGCACCTAGCCACGCCTTTTAGGAAATCGACAAAGGAGTTGGGGGCGCCACATTATAGTTCTGCTTTAATACGAAGATATTGAAATGAAATTAAATATATACTACATTATCTCCGAAGAACAATTGATATGGGCTTATATTATTTTAATAAATCAAAGATAGGATTAATTGCTTATGCAAATGCATTTTATTTATTTGATCTACATAAATTTCGATCACAAACTAATTATGTATATACATATGAAGATACGGTTATATCTTGGTGTTCTATGAAGTAGATTATAGTTACTATATCCTTAAACCATGCGTAAATACTAACAATTCATGAGGCAAGTCGAGAATGTATTTGGTTAAGATAAATGACTCATCATATTTAAGAGGCATGTGGTTTATCATCCAGCAAGAAAGTTCCAAGCAATATTATATGAAGATAATACTACTTGCATAGCTCAATTAAATGAAAAATATATCAAAGGTGATAAAACGAAACATATATCACTAAAATTATTTTTTACACATGATCTTCAATGGAATGGTGATATTAATATTCAACAAATTCAATCAAGTGACAATCCATAATATTTGTTCTCTACAGGCATTACCTATCATAACTTTTGAGAAGATAATTCACAAGATTGGAATGCGTCGTCTTAGAAATCTTAAACAATCTTTTCAACAGGGGAGCTCAATATGGGGATTAATATGTATAAGGAATATTATACTTTTTTCCCTCATTAAGATTTTTTTCCACAAGATTTGTTTTAGTAGGGTTTTAACGAGGCATGTGCTTTGTACAATGGACATTCAAAAAGGAATGATATGAAATAATAAATGTCCATATATTTTTCATATTCTCATTACTTATAACTCTTAATGACCATTCAATATGAGAAATTAAAAAGATAATGCAATTGATTCAATAATTTATATACTTTTAATTATTTATAATTCATTCCAATTCTCTTTTTAATTTTAAAGCGTATAGATTTGTTTAATTATTTATTAGTTTATACATAAGTATTTTATAAAAAATAAAAAATAAAAAAAATTATTATTTTTTATATTTATTTTATTTTATAATAAATTTATTTTTATATCATTTTATTGTAATTATCATTTTTTTTAATAACAGTGTGCAATTTTTTTGCCCTTTTGTTGACCTTTCCTTCGATGCTTTTCAATTAAATACTCTCTCTCTCTCTCTCTCTCTCTCTCGTATCGGAAGTCAATGTTACCGGTCGATCAGCCGATAAACTATCTAAAATGCTGACGCGTGTCTAATTTTATTATGTTGGTATTTTTTTTTTATTGTCTTTCCCTGTCTATCCACCGTAGCTGCGATCTTATTCTTCTTCTTCTTGGTCCTCTCTCCTCCTCCAGCAGATGAAACTAAGTATGCTCCGTAGCAAATTTGAACCAAAAATCCCTGCAAGAGCAAAACGCACATCACCAGCATTGAGGTCGTGACCTCCATTGAAATCTTCAAGAGCCAAGATCTAGAGCTTCTTCGTCCAACACCACCACAAGGTGCTGACGCCCACAAACCCCATCACCAACGAATCTAAAACAGCTGCCGCTGCCCACAAATCCAACTACCGCCGCCCATAGCACCCACAAACCCAATCGTAAATAGATCTAAAACCACCGTCACTCCCAAGCCCAGCTATCGCGGTCCAAAAATCCAAGCCCTTGCAGATCTAAAACCATAAACATAAATGCACCCAAGTGACTTGAACAACGCAAATCTTTAAAAAAAGATTGCTACTTGATGGGTAAAGATAATTGCCCTGATTATGATAAAGGCAATTCTTGTTATCAAAATGATGTGGGTATGGAGGATGATCCTCATAAGTTGACAAATCATCCGTCCGTGGCTGACCGCCATGCACAGAACAAGGAAGCTAGGCAATCGAGGGTTGTGCAGGTACAATACATTTTTTCTGTTCTGTATACTTTTAGGCTCTTATCTTGAAAATATAGTGGCATGTTCTTAATAAATCTTGCCGCACTTCTTTGTTTGTTAAATTGCTAAATACGAAGACCTGGGAGCTGGTTGGTTTACTTAATTATATGGAAAGAGCAATGGAAGATGCTACCAAGTTTTTGTGCTCTTAATAAATTCTGTAGACTTCCCTTACCCCATCAAATTGTCTGTATTCTTCACCAAGTTACTGCTACTCGTGGTTGGTTCTCAACCAAAAGAATCTAAACAAAGAAAGTCTCTGACCTCGTCTGTGTTATTAGCGTTTTCTTGCACAAATTGTTCTGTGGAAGTATACAAGAAGTTATGGTATCGATAATCCCTCGATGTTTAAGAATGAATGTTAGGATGACTATTGCGAAATTTGACCATTTAACACTCCATTTTACCATGAGGATTTGTTCTGAGTCATTTTTCTGGACAAAATTTCATGTCGTATAGGCCCTAATGTAATTGTTTATTTGACATTGCAGCGAAGGCAAATGCTTGATGTTCTGGTGCATGCATCACGATGTGGTTCTCCACTTTGTCAATATCCTGGTTGTCGTAAGGTGAAAGGTCTTTTCCGGCATGCGAGATCATGCAAAATACGTGCATCTGGAGGCTGTGATCTGTGTAAAAAGATGTGGTATCTCCATCAACTTCATGCTCGTTCATGCGAAGAATCACAATGCTATGTTCCACGCTGCAGGTTTATGCATCAATCTTATCTTAAAATCTTCAACTCGGGCCAATATTATATCATAAATTCTCATAAATGCATGCATGTATGTTTGTCCAGGGATATGAAAGAACTTTTGTGGAGGCTTCAGCAGCAGTCATATTCACGACGAAGGGCTGCTGTGATCAAGATGATGAGGCAGAGAGCTGCAGAGATTGCTGGCAATTCTGGGTAACCTTTTTGTATGTAATGTGGTCGTTATTGGAGAAAAAGGGACAATAGATATGTGTGCTGCCCTGAGGGTGTCACACTGCTTGAAATGAGGCAGCGACTGAAAATTTCCAATAATAGGTGGTTGGTTCAGAAGGGGGAAAAATATACAATAGTAAAACGCATGGTTTTATCATCAGAGCTGTAAGGGAATGATTCTTTTATTCATGCTTGGATGTCTTGACTTTCCTTTCCCTGCGAAGAAAAGCAAGTGAAACTCACTGCCGGAAAGTTTTCCCAGTTCAGCAGCAGCAGCTAACTGTTTCCCTGAGTCAGAATGTATAGGAAGGAGTACTGATGTGATGTGTTAGTCAGTCCGCCTGAAGGGATGATTCTTTGAGTTTAAAATCTTGTATTTTGTTTAATGCCATTCTTGGTGGCTGGTGTACCGTATAAATGTTCTAATCTGTTTAAGATGCTTCTTTTCTTGCAAAGGAATATGCGTTGGGAATGGGAGGAGATTAGTTTCAAAATCCCCCTCTCTTCTTTTTAGTTTTACCTATTTATCCCTCGTCTTCCCTCTCACAGTTCAGATGTCTGACCATCCTTTTTTGTCATGTTATTTAAAGATTGAAGAAATAAGTCGAATTCTCCAAATTTGCACTAATTGTTTTACTTGCTTTTTTTTTTAAAAAAAAATAATTTCCTTCCATATGGGTTGGAAGAAACTCCATTTTGCACATAGGTGTCATGTTATTAGAGGCTGACATGTGTGAAAAGAATTTTTATTGATTAAAAGTAAAATAATAAAGTTGATAAAAAAAATAATCAAGTTAGAAATATGGTAAGAAAACTGTTTCATTTAAAAACATGATAAATGCTGCCAACATATGGTAACATAGTACTGCAAATATTTTTCATATATGGTTTGGCTAAAGTACTGAAAGGGTTTTTCTCTTTTTCTCTCTCTCTCTTTTTTTTTTTTCACATTTGAATTTTGTACAGTTGTATTCTTCTAAATTTTTTTTATTAAAACTTTATTTTTTTTTTAACTTACTTTATGGTTACATAGCATTGTAAAGTAAGAAGTTTTGAAACTGTGATTAGTGGCATTATAAAAAATGGTATAAAATAAAAAATCTTGAAGAGTAAAAAGTCTTATTCAAATAAAAAAATAAAAAACCTCAATTAAAAAATTCAAAGAACACATGAACTAAATATGAGAAAATCTGTATTGAAAGAAAACAATGGAAAGTTGAGAATTAAGATGAAGAAGCACATGTGAAAGGAGTTGGCATCGAGGTTTGTATGAATAATTTTTCACTTAAATTATATTTTTCTTTATTTCACAATTATTTTTTATTTTAAATTTTTATATATATTCAGTTGCATAAGTAAAATTGGTCAAAAAAAATAAAATATATTTCATTGTTAAAAGAAACATGTTCAAAATAAGGGCAAGTAACTTACAATTTTCAAGAGAAAACATTTTTACGATACCAATTTGTAATTTTATATGCTCGATTTGTTTATAAAAATTGATCAAGTAATTTATTTAATTTTATTATGTAATAAGCTTTGTTATTTATTTATTTATTTATTTTTTTGTATGGGTCCAAACTTTACACTAAACAAATTGGATCGGCGATGAGCCTTGCCCGCATAAAGCTTAAGGCGTGCAACAATGGACACGTATATTTTAGTAGAACTAGTGTTTATGCTTTGTTTTTTGAATGCATTAAGGAAATTAGCTTGGTGGGCTAAGAGTAAGGTTTGGTTAATAAAGGCCAAATTATTATTTTTAAAAATTTTTCTTGTAAGTTGAAGTAGTTTAGTCTAAAAAAAAAAATTAGGTTTTTTCAACTCAAATCCGACAATTCAATCGTAGATAATGTGACACAATTCTAGTGGTCAAATGTCATTTTCATTTCACTATAAATACAAACCCCATTATGAGACAATTTTGACTTTTTTTTTTATCTTTAACAAAAATCTCTAAATTATCTCTCTCAAAATTTTTTCATTCGGACACAAGATATCATCTAAAGTTTAACCTATTTGGATTTTGATCAATCTATCTATTTAGACTTTAATCACTTACACTACATTAAAAATGAGTATTGCGGGCAGTTTTTTACCCCATAGAAGCGGTTTTCCCAAACGCTAGGGAAGGCTGAGGCGATTTTTTGAGACGGTTGGACCCGCCTCTAATTTTTTTTGAGGCGGTTGAAATCGCCTCTGCTATGCAAAGTTTATCTTCCTGTTTTGTTTGGAGCGTAATTGTAGAGGCGGTTTAAAACCGCCTTTACGTTCTCGGTTTTTTTTTTCAATTTTGGCGTGAATTATTAGGGGTGATTGTAAGTTGTAAAATATATAGGGAAGGTTTTCTACGGTATTGATAGTGGTGGTTTTAATCACCTCAAAGTTCGAATTCGGAAAAAAGGATTTTGTAATTCATAAAGGCGAGTTGTTCAACATTCACTTTCAAATTTAATTATTTTTTTATTGGTAAAAAAATAAATAAATTACGAAAAATTTAATCTTATTGAATGCAAATTAAAGAAAAATTATCAAATTCCAAATGCATAAAAGGTCGTCAAACATTCACAATTAAAAATATAAAATAAAGTATTAAACACTTGTTTGAAATACATAAACAAAATTCCAAATATATTTTAAATTTAGTGGCTAATGTTTACACAAAAAAAAAATATTTTTATAGAAATGTTTCATTTCGGCGAGATGACTTGCTTGTAATGAATGATTAGGAGAATGAGCATTTTGACCATTACCATCATTGCGAACTTATCAACAATACAATTTGAAAGTCAACAAAAAAATAATGTAAATATAGATAAAAAATCATTAAAAATATTTTAAGATCAAGAAACATGTTAAATATTTAATTAAAAGTATATGATACCTAAGTAGGATTCAATGAAGTAAGCATCAAATTCTAATCCGGATATCTCTCTGCAATGAAAGCAAGTAATAACGAGTTAATGTCGCATTTATTGCATTATATCTAGATTCCATTGCATCATATTTGGTTTGCATTGTATGTAATTACTCTTTCATTTCTTCTACTTCACTTGATTGATTTGCGGATGCACCGCCTTGACTACTTCTAAGTTGTGTTGTAAATCAAAGAATAATGTTGGTATTGGACCCAAGCCTAATCCTCTAACTCTACCATTGTGTTCTTTACCCATAACTTCTTGAAAAATCTCTTCCTTTATACCGAAACACCTGGTGGTTGAGAAACCTTCATAACACTCGACTTGGAGAGAACGAGCCTTTCCGTATAAATACCAAGACAAATATATATAGAATAAGCGAATAATGAAATATCATTCATCAACAATAAATAAATTACAACAAAATTTTAGTACCATTTTTAGCCTAACATTGTCATCCACAAATGTGTCGTCCTTCTTCTTATGAGTAGCTTCATACAATGTCAACCTATCGGGTTCCTTTCTATCCTTTTCTTCCTACAAACAATTATACATATTTAATCTAATTTCATGCATAAACAGTATTTAAATGTAAAGTTAAAAATTATTAAAATTACAATTTCTCTTCTTTTTCTTGTATAACTTTTTCTACCTAATGTATGTGCACATTTATTTTTGTTTACATTTGCGTATTTACCTCACTTGTTTTCTACATTAAAAAAAAAAAAAACACAATTGATTGTAATCATACAAATAGGTAAAAAAAAAAAAACAAGTTATAATATGAAATAATTTGAAATCTAGCTTTCTAGAGTAAACCATCTATTGACCAAAGTAGACCATTGATCTATCAACACACTCGGGAGGCAATTCTTTGGATGCAATGATCTCTTCGTCGTTTTACTAGGATAAAAAACTCGGCTTTCAAGTCACTTTTGAAATCCCTCCATTTCTTATTTAACGATGCCAAAATCCATTTCTTTGCAACATTAGGAAAGTCAAACTTTTCCTATAAAACATGTAAAAAAAAAAATTATAATTGAGCATAATGATATCAACATCTCTTCATTAATTTGCCTCATCCGATCACAAAAATTCGGAATGGGTTAAGTAGGGATCTTGACATAGCAAGCTGCCTCCATAGACTTTAAAATAAGAAGCCTATATGGCTCGAGAAAGTGATTGCTAGCTAGCAAACATGAATTAGTATGGAATCATCATATTATAAGATAACCACCAAATAGTCTAGAAATCAAGGAATAATCCGACTCTTTAACTATGATCCACTTAATTTCTAACACTTGTCTAAGTCATTTTTTTCTTTTTATTCCTTTGATATTGGCCAATAGTCCTAACTTTACATTCCATACCAATGTTTTCCCTTAGAATTCTTTATATTTCATAACTAGAATGCAACAATTAAAGAGGTATCTAACCTCTAAATAAAGTTCAATTTCCATAAAAGTAAATTATCTCGTGCTTTTGACTAAACTAGCCGACTAGGCGACTTAATTTTCTTTTTCCTACTCCTAAGCGATCGGTACTATTAACGGATTGATAGGCCATCGATCGATCGATCGATCAATCAATCAATTAGTTATTCAAATTGTAACTACTAATGACACTTAATTGGTTATCCACCAATTACTTTTGGAGCAACCAGAGCAAGAATATGACTTTCGAGCAACGAAAGAGCAAGCATATATATATATATATTAGGACACGAAACTAGCAACAAAGCAAAGGAGACCCAAACTTAATTCAAATCATAATATGAACTCATGATATAAATTCCAAGTTTTAAGAGAATTTACCTTCACAAGTTTTAGAAGGTTGTTCTTGAAGACACCAAACTCCTTACAATCCCATCGTGGGATGCTCAAAGGTGCATGAATTCCTTTTTTAACCAATATTCAAACGTAAGAACTAAGAGCGACGGCTTCTTTTGTACACGGAGTTCCATATTTGTCAACTTCTATGAAAATTCGTTCTCCATGTTCTAAATGGTTCCAAAAATCTATCATTGAAGCTCAACCTCTCCCTTTAATGCGTTTTCCCTCTTTATCTA